AAAACTGCGGGGAACTCTGCAAAAAGCGCATCTTCGCACGGGCAGCCCGTGCGTTGGCCAATTTTCTTTTTTTGGTAAGAGTTTTGTTCGTACGACTCTCCGATATTGGGTTGGTATTGTGGGGAATTATTCACATTATCGATGCTCCGGGGTCTGTGAAACATTTTTTCGAGTTCGGTAGCATCAGCAGCGGCATCTACATTGGATTGTTGTTGCTGAATATACAGTAAAAACTCTATTTTTAAGAAAGAAAATGAAATTTTTCAAAAAATTTTGTTTAAGGTCGTGCGGGTCGAACAGGACCTGGTGTATGCTATCGCCTATATTCGCGAGATCTTTTTAATAAAATGGATCCCTTCACAGTTTCTGAAATAAACCGTGTCTCGTTGGAGTCTCTGGCCATGCAGATTGTTAACATGAATCTTGGAAGTATGTGAGTTTCAGTTCATGTGAATTTTTTTTGATTTTTGTAAAAATCCCTACTGTACAGTTGTTTTTTGTTGATTTTCAGTTTCGCCGCTCGATTTCCCGTTTATTGAAAAGCCGAATATGGCTGATTTGGAGCAAGCGCTTGATGGGTTGTGGAAACAGGGGATCTTAGAAGCAGGAAGTACGAAAGCACTCACACCGCTGGGCAAAATAATCGCGAGCATTCCGGTGGAAATTCCCATTGCAAAGGTCCTTGTTTGCTACAAAATCTCTGATGAAATAAGTTCAGAAATTAAAGTTTTCCCATACAAGTAAAGGATGATAACATAGAGATAGTGATAATGACAAACAGTTAATTTCCTCTGGCCAATTACGCTAAAGAGCGAACTGTTGAAGAAATGGCTTTTTTAAATCGGACTTTTTTGTTATTTAATTTGTTGTGGCAACATATTGTCTTAGGAAAAAAAAAATCGTTTTCCTGTTACTGTCCAGCTCAATTTTTGAGAAATTTTGGAAAGTCGATTAATTAGTAACAGTGCTTATCCCCTTGAATGAGTTATGATTTTTGTAGCTTAGTTTTCCAACTATGTAACAACTTTTCTAGTGTCACATAATATATCAAATAATGATTTATGGTTTTTTGTTAGAAATGGCGTAGCGAAAAGTTGCGTCGCTATGATGCAATACCCCGGCCCCTGGTTCAACCTTTGGACACCCGACCCCGTTAAAGTTTTGCAATCTTAGTAATCTCTGACTCCTGGGTATAGAAGCGCTCCTCCCCATCCCAGGGATCCAGAGCTATTTCTAGCTACTCGAGAAAGCTACTCCTTTCAGCATATCCCTGTTCCGGGGGACTTTGGCTTCCCAAAACCCCACCACCCTTTTTGCATTGTCTTACTTTAGTTAATTCTTGTACTTATAAATATTTCTGTAACTAGGTGTTTCCACACACACGCACAAACACGCACACGCACACACACACACACACACACACACACACACACATACATACACACACACACACACACACACGACACGCCACTACTCCAGCAAGTTAGCCTTTTAGAGTCGCGATGCTAGTTGCTTAGGTCAGTGCTTCATCATTTTTCAATCAGGTTACTGGCGACGCTGACATTCTTTTTTTCTCGAATAAAAGTCTGCAAAAATCTGTGTTTTTCATCAATTATTTGAAGAAAAAGTCGTTTTTTACATCCAAATGCTTTTAATTCAAAATTTCATTTGCCGTTTGTTTCCTTACGCTTGCTTTTTTTTGAGGTGCTTATATACGGTTGTGTTTTTGAACAAATTGAAGCTTCATTAACAATTGCTGCCAGTTTAGCAACAAGTTCTCCGTTCACCAATCGATCATTTCGTGAGCCCGATATCTTGGATCGTCGAAAAAACATTATGTCCGATAGCGGAGATCCATTTGCTTTCATGAATGCTTACAGGTCGTTTTTTTCCGAATGGATTTTTTTAGATTTTGAAAGCATGCCCACTTTAAAATCCGGTTTTTTGTACTGAATGGTTGCTAAATTTTCGATTATTTTCAGAGAATTTGTGGAAATACAAGCAGAACGCGGTGATCTACGTCGATGGGGTATTGAAAAGGGTATAGACATTCAGCGGATGTATGAAATCAGGTAGATATTCTTCTGTTATAGATATCTTGTTTGTTTTGGTTGCATTGTCTCCAAAGTCTAGTTAAAACACACAATATGGGACACCGTATTTGATTCTATGCAATTAAATTTCGGTTTTTATGCGTTTTTGCATATATGTAAATTGCAAAAACGCATATTGGGAAGAGGCTGTCTG